TTACAATCATCGTAGCTTTATATCACTTGTCAGTGTTGAAGTATGTCAGTTACAATCATCGTAGCTTTATATCACTTGTCAGTGTTGAAGTATGTCAGTTACAATCATCGTAGCTTTATATCACTTTGTCAGTGTTGAAGTATGTCAGTTACAATCATCGTAGCTTTATATCACTTGTCAGTGTTGAAGTATGTCAGTTACAATCATCGTAGCTTTATATCACTTGTCAGTGTTGAAGTATGTCAGTTACAATCATCGTAGCTTTATATCACTTGTCAGTGTTGAAGTATGTCAGTTACAATCATCGTGCTTTATATCACTTGTCAGTGTTGAAGTATGTCAGTTACAATCATCGTAGCTTTATATCACTTGTCAGTGTTGAAGTATGTCAGTTACAATCATCGTAGCTTTATATCACTTGTCAGTGTTGAAGTATGTCAGTTACAATCATCGTAGCTTTATATCACTTGTCAGTGTTGAAGTATGTCAGTTACAATCATCGTAGCTTTATATCACTTTATATCAGTGTTGAAGTATGTCTGTTACAATCATCGTAGCTTTTTATATCACTTGTCAGTGTTGAAGTATGTCAGTTACAATCATCGTAGCTTTATATATCACTTGTCAGTGTTGAAGTATGTCAGTGTTGAAGTATGTCAACAATCATCGTAGCTTTATATCACTTGTCAGTGTTGAAGTATGTCAGTTACAATATCAGTTACAATCATCGTAGCTTTATATCACTTGTCAGTGTTGAAGTATGTCAGTTACAATCATCGTAGCTTTATATCACTTGTCAGTGTTGAAGTATGTCAGTTACAATCATCGTAGCTTTATATCACTTGTCAGTGTTGAAGTATGTCAGTTACAATCATCGTAGCTTTATATCACTTGTCAGTGTTGAAGTATGTCAGTTACAATCATCGTAGCTTTATATCACTTGTCAGTGTTGAAGTATGTCAGTTACAATCATCGTAGCTTTATATCACTTGTCAGTGTTGAAGTATGTCAGTTACAATCATCGTAGCTTTATATCACTTGTCAGTGTTGAAGTTTGTCAGTTACAATCATCGTAGCTTTATATCACTTGTCAGTGTTGAAGTATGTCAGTTACAATCATCATAGCTTTGAAGTATGTCTGTTATATCACTTGTCAGTGTTGAAGTATGTCAGTTACAATCATCGTAGCTTTATATCACTTGTCAGTGTTGAAGTATGTCAGTTACAATCATCGTAGCTTTATATCACTTGTCAGTGTTGAAGTATGTCAGTTACAATCATCGTAGCTTTACATTGCTTTATGGAACATGGTTGTGTGTCAGCTCGTCACACAGTTTCAAAACAAGAGGATATCTGCCGGTTCTGACAGTTATTTTCTTTCAAGGAGCCATGCATAATTATTTACATTCTCTTATTGAATGAAGTATTTTATAAATGCACATACTTTGTCCATTGTACATTGTTCATTGAAAGCTAGAACAATGGTATTCATATCTAATGGCTGTTTCCATTATATATTTCCCTTATTAGATCTCAAATAACACTCTTTTTGTCGTGCTCTGCTACATACGCCACCCACATCAGACTTGCATGTGGTTAAATACGGTAATAAGGTTCACAATCTACTTGATCTCTTCCTTGTATTAATGCTTATCTTCAATACATCCTAAATCTCTTAAGCCTAATTCCGTTAACTCCAGGAGTAGCAGAGGTCACTGTGAGGACTTTGGGCACAGCAAGCCATACTTGATCTCACTATAATCTTCTTTACATACCATTGCCGGAATACTTAGCTGTTGCACTTCACATGTTTTTGCTCTTTCTGACTTAGAGTGCTCTCAGACATGCAGCTAAGCCAATGACACGGAATTTCTTTTACATAGACTTGCCACAGTCATATGCTCGTACTATTAGATAGACTGACTGACTGACTGAGTTTGGTTTTACGCCGCTTTTAGCAATATTCCAGCAACATCACGGCGGGGGACACCAGAAATGGGCTTCACACATTGTACCCATGTGGGGATTCGAACCTGGGTCTTCAGCGTGACGAGCCAACGCTTTGACCACTAGGCTACCCCACTGCCCCCACTATTAGATAGACTTGCCACAGTCATAGTTCTAAGCTGATCATACCTCTTGTACTATAAGACAGACTAGCCACACGTCGTAGTGCTATGGTTGTAGTAACTTTCAAACTTGAACATAGACTTACGACAGTGTACACCTTCTTAAATGGACAAACTATACATGTCAGTTGATAAATATCAGCTTTTATGTATTTGTATTCAGAGATCACTTTCAACAAATAGAATGTACATATTTGAGATATATATCTTGATCCGCAATGAGTTGTATCCAGTCAAAGATGTGGAAGGCCACTCATTGCCCGAGGCAGTGATGTGTTTTGAAAAAATTGTTTGAATGCTGAACAGTAGACATAGTAACTGCAGATAGGATATATTCACATGTGCTGTGAAGTTGCCATCAAACAGAACGTTTAAATCGGTCACTTAAAACCTCTGATCGACCAATCAGAACAGTCCATGTAGAGTGAATTATGAACTGAAGGTGCTGCATGAAGACTTTATCATAGAGTGATTGACTGTTTGAAATATTCTCATCTTGCAATTCTATTAAGTCATGAGGTTGGTGTATTATTCACCATCCTGTTGATCAGCAGGTAAACGATTATTGCTTATTGATCTGTCTTGCATCAGTAGACTGTTATAATGACTGTTGATACTTGCTTATTCTTATGGCAGTAGTACGACCCAGGTAACAGCGATTGTCCCTTGTCCGCAAGTGAAACCAAACTTTTGTGTTTGTGTGACGAGTGATGTATTTTTAGTGATTACTGACGAGGTTCTTGTAATGCATGACTAGAATATTGAAATTTAATTTCCTTTTGTATTCACGATTTGATTGTGTACCGACGATACGGCTCACTGTTATATCATAAAGAAACAAAACCGTAAAGATATAATTGATAATTCTGTTTCCAATGTCTATTAATATTTCAAGTGATAACTGCATTAATAGTGTAAAAAATGCCCTTGGCACTTACAAAATTGACATCTTGGAAGCTCAGTATATGAACAGAGTTGAATGAACTTATGACATTATGAATTTTCTTAAATAGGTATTAGAGAATTATGTCTTTCACACATATTTATCAAAACTGGACTTTGCTCATGTTTTAATATGTGTCAATATTCTGTATGTTCTCTGTGTCACTTTATGTGATTTTTTAGAATAAAATTTCGGTTCTATTCTGTTCTGTTCAGTAAAAGATTAGTAATATGTTTTGAGAAGGGCACAGGAGATAGGAGTGTGTTGTTACTATACACTGTAGTGACTCTGGGTCAGTTCATTAATTAAATAGGGTGGACAGTACGGCTCAGCTAATTAGTGTACTCATTGAGTCTGTCTTATGGGAGGTCTGTCTTTTGGGAGTGAACCCCGTTTTCTATAATAGAATTTGTAATATACACAGACACACAGACAGACTGACACACAGACAGACACACAGACAGACTGACACACAGACAGACAGACTGACAGACACACACAGACAGACTGACACACAGACAGACTGACAGACACAGACTGAGCAACAGACAGACACACAGACTGACACACACTCTTGTATGAGATACACAAGGGTATAAATTATGGAACATGAAGTTAAACCCAATTTCACTCCACCCACCTCCGCTGGTTACAAGACTGCTGTTGTATACAAAGATTGTGACATATTCACAGGAATCCGTCATGATGCTCTGGCAGGAGGAGTAATTGTTTTATAGAAAACCAGAACAATAGATGGATTTTCTCTGTCAGAGACAAAAGTGTATGTCCTGCAGCATTGGCTAAACAAACTTGATTCATATTTGATAAATGCTTGTCCCTCAGGGTCAGGTGATACTTTAGATCTTCCAGCCTTTGGCTGTGTATTGATGACTACCTCTAAGGCAGTGACCATCCATAAAAATATCTGGTCTGGTGACCTGCAGGCACTGTCAGTTAATTACAAACATGTTTCACTTTGAGTACAGTTTAATGTTCAAGTCAAACTACGTAGTGAATATTTTGATGGTCACAATAAAGGTCCCTGTATTGTATGCATCATTATATCTGCATTGATTAGTGTTGTGTTATACACCCTGAAGTAGTGATATAAAATAAATCATAACACATCTTTTGCTTTAGTAACACTTTGCAAAGACTAGACATGTTACTTAAATAATACTGAAAGCAAATCATTCTTTGGTTGCTAAGAAACCATGAAATATATACAACATTAGGATTTGTAAACATAACAGTGAAGAAATAAACAAAATGCTAGATTTGGGTTCTGTTGTTGAGGAAAAGGACAGATATTTGCAGTTCTGATACTGATATTCTACATATTAATTTCATTTAATTTGCTTTTTATGAAAAAAATTTGAGACCTAGTAAAACATATGGCTAAACATTTGCAAATGTTGAGAAACACTGCATCTTATTTTTTCCTATGGCTGTAATCAGTCATGGCTTGTAGGTGACACATGTATATAACAGCCTTCCAGTTGTGGGTGTTCTTTAGTGAGTGAGTGAGTGAGTTTGAGTGAGTTTAGTTTTATGCCGCACTCAGCAATATTTCAGTTGTATGGCGGCAGTCTGTAAATAATCGAGTGTGGACCAGACAATCCAGGGATCAACATTACCACCCCATCCCGTTAGTCACCTCTTACGACAAGCATGGGCTACTGAATATCAATTCTAACCCGGATCTTCACAGGTTGGTCATCTATAACTTGTTTTGAGAAGTATATGTATGTTTCTCTTGACATGATGTACTTCAGTGGAGGCAGTAGCTTAAGCTGCCGACTACAAGTCTTAATGGCATCTGTCTAGGTGTTGTGTTCAGTAGCTTGGGTAGAATACGTGTAATGTTCTACTGCTAGTGTGACCTGATAATAACACTAAACAAAAATAATTGTTTTTTAAATATCTGGCCAGTCATTTCAGCTACTTAAATTCATCAAGATCTGGGTCCATGTGCACAAAGTGAATTTAGCACTATGCTGATTGTAATTCAATTCTCTAAAATAGATCAGTTTGTGCAGACCATCCTGGGGACCGAAAATATAAAACATGGAATCCAAGAAAAGTGTTGCCAACCTTTGATGACACTTAGATCACACTTGGATTAAGACTTACACTTACATAATGCTGAACCAGTCCTTGAAAAAAGAATGGTTTGGCCTCAACAACAAGAAGGAATATTACATGGATGGACGTAGTTTTTTGAGAGGCTCAAAGTTCAGTTTTATGCCTTGTAGCCTCACATACTAACTTTACAGAAAGTAAAGGGGAGGGGAATAGTTTAGACAGTTTACTGTATTCCTTTGAAGAAATTTCTTTTGATGTCAATGGTGTGGGTTTTCAGATTTGACCTTAACAATGTTCTCAATGTCTTGTATTGAACTAAGGCTTGCCTGGGAGTCTGACTCTGACTCCTGCTGATGCAGGGATTCATTCATGATTCTCTGTTCTCGCTTTGTTGGCCTCTTGCCAAGGCTCCGATCTCGCACATACTTCCTTCGATTCTGAAGAGCTTCACCCAGCCTTCTCCACAACATATCCCGGAAAGGGACGAGGTTGGGTGCCAGTGTGAACGCGCACTGGTAGAACACCTTTTTTTGATGTTCACTGATGGCCCGTATGCTTTGAGGAACATCCTGCCAAAGTTTAGCCATCATGGCTGATTCACGTATCACCTGTTGTCCCAGTCTCTGAGGTTCTGAAGGCTTTCCTTGCTTAGATTTCTTAGTCAAGAGTTCTTCACCAGTGTACTGGGCTATTCCTCGGTCTATCGTACTGTAGATTCGCATCTCAGGAACCTCCTCCATCACAAAAGAGTCCCACATGGACGGGTTCTCCAGGTCTTCATTCGAGACAGCATCATCAGATTCATGATCTGTCCTCATGATAAAGTTGGAGGACTGTTGATTATCACAAGACGTATCTGTCCTCATGATAAAGTTGGAGGACTGTTGATTATCACAAGACGTCTGCAGACAAGGTTCGTACATGCTGACAGAGGGCTTCCTGTCTATGTGACTGCCATACTGAACAGGGCCTGTTCTGTTGTGGTGGTGTCTGGAATCCGATTTGGACATGAACAGCCTCTTGTGTAGGTTTACCTTCTCAATGTCTGCTGGGGGGTCGCATCTTGTATCCACCTGCCCATCCTCAAAGTCAACCATGGAGAAATCTTCTGAATATCTTTGCCGTTTGATTTCAGTTCTGTATCTCATCTCAGTTTCTTCCTTGAGAGCAGAACAGGCAGCAGAGGAGAGGAGAGACAGGTTCTGGGAGCTGGAAGAAGAACAGTCCAGAGCATTCCTCTTCCTCCGAAACACTTCTTCATTGTCTTTTACCATCTGGTGCTTGTGGTCCCCCTCAGACTCTGCACCATACTGAGTGTCCATTGTGGAATCCGGATATGTCTGCCTGTCCTCATCTTCAGTAGAGTTGTATAACATCGGGACCTGATTGTCTGAGATGTCTGGTCGACTTACTGTGGAGCAAGGGCCATTATACCAACTGGATGGTTTCCTGGACCTGTCACTCTGACTAGATGAGGTGGAAGTATCTGGTACCTGGTCCTCAAAGTCTTCAGCAGCTTCAGGAGAGTCACAATAGTCCAGATCGATGACATCTGCATCTGAAGAAGCTGACTGTTCATCAAGTCTCTTCCCACGCTTGCCAAGAACCTTGTCTCTGAGGTACTTTCGACGGTTCAGCAGAGCCTCTCCAAGCCTCTTCCACAACAGGTCCTTGTGTTCTCTCAGATTGGGAGCCATGAAGAACGAATACTCGAAGAACATTTCCTTCTGCATGGTGGTGAGAAGCTGCAGACAAGGAGGATCGTCCCAAATACCTGCCCGTGATGACGCCTCACGGACCACCATCTGCCCAAGTCTCTGAGCCTCGCTGGGCTTGCCCTGCTTGGCCTTCCTGCTGAGAAGATCCAAACCAGAAAACTGAGTCAGTCGATGAGTCAACACTGATGGAATAAATTTGGAATCAGTCAGTTCATGTTCTGCCTGGGACCAAGACTGATGTCTTTTGGATTGGGAAAGATCAGCTGGAGACTCATTCTCAGCAGCTAGGCGGGACTTGCTTTGAATGAACTGTGACAGAGCAGCATGGGATGATTGTCTTGGGTGTTCTCTGTTGTCAGTTCCAATAATACTTGGTTTGGTAGAAGCCTTTGTTGACCCGTCTTTGCTTAAGTTTTGAGCTTGAAGACTATGAGGTAGGGAGTCTCTTGGACAGCTGTGTTGAATGAATGAAAAATGTTTTGAAGGTTCTGTCACAGATTTACAATAAGGTAATGACATTGGAACATGATTGTTTCTTGTCTCAGTCTGGTTGTCATGGATACTGGCACCCTGACGGTTTTACACAGCCCTTGGTATGTGTTTGCATCAGCTCTATAACAAGCACCTGCAGGATCTGACAGGTTCTCAAAGGATCGAATCAGATGAAATTGCTCCTCAGACAGACCATTATCTTTTGTTGCAGTGGCATAAGATGCAAATCCACCTCCACTTCTAACATTCCTGATGGATTGAGAGACATGACTGTTGTCAGTTTTCTGATTTCTGATTGGCTCTGGGGTTGGAATATCCTTGCTTTTGATTGGATGTGTCTGAACTGGGCTGTTGTCCTTTCCTTGAAGGATCTTTCTGACGAGGTGTCTGTCTTTAAAGATGCTGAACAAGTCCTTGATGTCATTGTCCGTCAGCTCGGTGAACACCTCACCATCCACCTGGTGCTCTGTAACAGTTAGAAATTAGAATGAGTTGGATAAAATACTGCTTTAAGGCGTATACAAGTTATATCACAGCCTGTCAGGTTGATGAGGGAGGAAAGCTTGAAGTGATGTAGGTCCTAAGACATTAACCAATTTGGTGAGACACATTGTGCTTACACATATAGCAAGACAATCAGGGTAAACTGAAATTTGAACACACAAGTCTAAGTTTCTGGCACTCCTTAGGGACACAACTCTCCATAGTGAATTGTGGTACCATACACAATGAGGCCGCCTTCACTCTAGAAATCAGAGTAATACCACCATTATCAGACTAATTAATGACACCATGTTATGTTATGTTTTTCTTTAATATGATTGGGCAGTAGGATAACCTGGCAGGTGAAGCGTTTGCTTCTCAAGCTGAAGGCTCAGGATTCAATTGAAAACATCGGACAATGCGTGAAGTCCATTTCTGGGTTCCTTGCTGTGATATTGCTGGAATATTGCTAAAATTAGAGTAAAACTTCATTCACTCACTACAGGTCCTCAAAAGAGGTGACGAATTAGATCAGGTTAGGCTTGCCGACTTGGTTAATTGGTCATTCTATGCCATATGTGGATTAATGCTTATGATGCTAATCACAAGAATGCTTGTTCCAGACTCAATTATTTACAGACTGTCTACATATGTCAAATATTATTTACCGACAGCTTTCAACAATGGATAAATAAAAACAACATCAAATGAATTATATGACAGAGGGTGCCAACACCCACTTTTAACCACTTAATGTTTCACCACTTAATGTCTTGGCATCTAATTTAAGAACACTTGAAAAATAACTGTGTACATGTGAATAGGACATGTACTCTCACTAAAACTGTGCATGCTCATTAGCTTTAAGATTAAATATTTGATTGAAAAACAATGAAAAATTCATGTGAGATACACATAGTGGTATCTGTGAATCAGATCAAAAAGTTGTGGCACTCAGTCTCTGAAGTTTGTTTGTTGTTAAATACAACACTCATCAATATCATGGTGGTTTGTAAATGAGTTTGGACCAGACAATCCAGTGAATGACATGAACTGCACGGCTGCATCCACAATACCACACAACAGGCCTTGACATTCAGTGTACCAATGGAGGGAAACAGTCCTGAAATATTTTCACACACAAAAATGAATGTGTTATCCATATACAGTTATGTTTCAAAGTACTGCTGAGTTGTGTCCCCTTGAAGCCAGGATCTGCTGACTCTAATGTTGGTTTGAATCTCGAATTCAGTGATTATTACCATTCTTGCTATTTTTGCAACATGTTCGGGACTAATATTTTAGCATCCTGTTTAGACTTGATATTTCAGCATCCTGTTTAGACTTGATATTTTAGCATCCTGTTTAGACTTGATATTTCAGCATCCTGTTTAGACTTGATATTTCAGCATCCTGTTTAGACTTGATATTTCAGCATCCTGTTTAGACTTGATATTTTAGCATCCTGTTTAGACTTGATATTTCAGCATCCTGTTTAGACTTGATTTTTTAGCATCATGTTTCATAGACTTGATATTTCAGCATCATGTTTAGACTTGATATTTCAGCATCCTGTTTAGACTTGATATTTCAGCATCCTGTTTAGACTTGATATTTCAGCATCCTGTTTAGACTTGATATTTCAGCATCCTGTTTAGACTTGATATTTTAGCATCCTGTTTAGACTTGATATTTCAGCATCCTGTTTAGACTTGATATTTCAGCATCCTGTTTAGACTTGATATTTCAGCATCCTGTTTAGAGCATCCTGTTTAGACTTGATATTTCAGCATCCTGTTTAGACTTGATATTTCTTGATATTTCAGCATCCTGTTTTTCAGACTTGATATTTTAGCATCCTGTTTAGACTTGATATTTCAGCATCCTGTTTAGACTTGATATTTCAGCATCCTGTTTAGACTTGATATTTCAGCATCCTGTTTAGACTTGATATTTCAGCATCCTGTTTAGTTTAGACTTGATTGATATTTCAGCATCCTGTTTAGACTTGATATTTCAGCATCCTGTTTAGACTTGATATTTCAGCATCCTGTTTAGACTTGATATTTCAGCATCCTGTTTAGACTTGATATTTCCATCCTGTTTAGACTTGATATTTCAGCATCCTGTTTAGACTTGATATTTCAGCATCCTGTTTAGACTTGATATTTCAGCATCCTGTTTAGACTTGATATTTCAGATATTTTGATAGCATCCTGTTTAGACTTGATATTTCAGCATCCTGTTTAGACTTGATATTTCAGCATCCTGTTTAGACTTGATATTTTAGCATCCTGTTTTGATATTTTTTAGACTTGATATTTCAGCATCCTGTTTAGACTTGATATTTCAGCATCCTGTTTAGACTTGATATTTTAGCATCCTGTTTAGACTTGATATTTTAGCATCCTGTTTAGACTTGATATTTCAGCATCCTGTTTAGACTTGATATTTCAGCATCCTGTTTAGACTTGATATTTCAGCATCCTGTTTAGACTTGATATTTTAGCATCCTGTTTAGACTTGATATTTTAGCATCCTGTTAGCACTTGATATTTTTTATCCTGTTTAGACTTGATATTTTAGCATCCTGTTTAGACTTGATATTTCAGCATCCTGTTTAGACTTGATATTTCAGCATCCTGTTTAGACTTGATATTTTAGCATCCTGTTTAGACTTGATATTTTAGCATCCTGTTTAGACTTGATATTTTAGCATCCTGTTTAGACTTGATATTTTTAGCATCCTGTTTAGACTTGATATTTCAGCATCCTGTTTAGACTTGATATTTCAGCATCCTGTTTAGACTTGATATTTCATCATGTTTAGACTTGATATTTCAGCATCCTGTTTAGACTTGATATTTCAGCATCCTGTTTAGACTTGATATTTCAGCATCCTGTTTAGACTTGATATTTCAGCACCCTGTTTAGACCTGACTTGATATTTCATCATGTTGGGGCTTCTGTTTCTTGGTAGACTTGATATTTCAGCATCCTGTTTTCAGACTTGATATATTTCAGCATCCTGTTTAGACTTGATATTTCAGCATCCTGTTTAGACTTGATATTTCATTATCCTGTTTAGACTTGATATTTCATCCTGTTTAGACTTGATTTCAGCATCCTGTTTAGACTTGATATTTCAGCATCCTGTTTAGACTTTATATTTCAGCATCCTGTTTACAGGTTTCCTCATTGCGGTAAAGGCTGGAATTCATATGTTCTCAAATAAAATTAGAACACTATTAAAATGTGTTAATCTCATTTACTCATTGGTCCAAAACATAAATACTTATTTCTCGGCATAATTTGCTGAAACTTTCCTGGAAGTGTAGACAAAACTATAAGTGTTTGTTTGGAATCTAGACCATTGTGTTCGACTAGTCTTAAGGTTTTAAAATCTAGATTCTGACCAATTTGAATCAAGGCCTTGAGAAATGTTGCAATACAATTCTTGAAACTTTGCAATATGGTTTGAATGTGTTTGACTTGAAGTCCTAACAGACTGGAGTCAGTTTCCTGCATGAAACTGAAACAAATGAATGTAGTAATCAGTATAAGAGAATTCAACAGAACCTCAGTTAGCCAACAAAGAAAAGCATTGTTTCACTGAGAAAACTAAATCATCGTCTCGACCTACCAGAGGAGTATTTTAGCTGTCTAACTACAGATTCAGTGTAAGAAACACAAAACATTAGTCTAGCCGATTATTTTTTTCATCTTTTTTATCATTTTGTGAAAAGAACATGGTTTAACACAAAGTTCTCTGCAACAAACATTATTTAGTTCTCTCCTTTCCTTATGTGTTGGAAAAAAATCTAGCATGTGTTTCGTAGTTGTGAGTATATTGTGTGCGACGCATAATCAAGATACATAGTTACGTTTTTTCCTTGCCAAAACCAACTCTACAAGACGAAGCACAAGTGCTTTATGTTTCGTTTGTGGTACTTCTATCTAAGCTCTGTAGAGTCGTAACTATGTTTCTACATGCCATGAATGCTGACAGCATGAAAGTGCTAAGTTACCACAGTAGGTTTTCCATGAATAGGGACAATTCACAGTAGTTTTCGCAATAAAAGTCAATAAAATTATTAAATTAGAAGCAGATTTCATGTTTTTTAATGTAACATGGATAATACGTTGGAAAATTTGATCTTGTATTTCAGAATAATAATGTTTATAAATATATTGTTACGAGTGAAGGTGTAATAAAGGTGTATACCACAAATTCACTTGCACAGCCCTGACGTGGGTATACGATTTATGAATAACTTCTGAATATCCACATCATGGATAAAACAAACTGGCAAAAGTAAAATCTACAAGCAATTCCCCAAAAGACCAGAGTAACACTGAGCTTCTGTCTATAAGCTGCCCACTTCCAATTAACTTAATCTAATTGCACCAAGCATGCTCATCTATATATAAAAGTGTACATTATATTTTCAAAATCATGTATCATTACTCATGACGAACCATTTATTATGAGAGGTTAGGGTAGAGAGGTTGTCAAAAGAGATGTTACTTGTTTTAAGCATGGAGGTTGGGATAAGGTTGGAATACTGTCTCAGTTTCAGACCAATCTATCAGTTTGAAGTCATTCAAAGGCAAACAGTTTTTCTAGATGAAATGTAATATAATATTCAATATAAGTCCCAGATATGACAAAAGGTAAAGTTTATAAGAAAACACTGGAAGATAAATACCTCGAACAGCATTCACACCCGTGACGCTGACGCCAAGTTTAGACAGATACTCAGCAATATTGTTGCAAGACATTAGCTTCAGCACCTCGCGCCCAGTCATTGCGGACATCGGCTTAGATTACCGCCCAAATACCAAACTCTGAAAATCCATGGTTTCCAATGAACAGAATCGCCAATATTCTCATTTATCAATTAGATCCACACCATCACATTCACCAGAATGTTTATTCCTTCGACAAACTTCGTAAAACAGTCATTGTTTTGGGGTACATGGCAAGAACTGCCGCATCAACTGATCAGTGCAGCAAGCCATCACAGGGTATTGATCAGGGGTCTCCTCCATGGTTTTTTTTGTTAGATAACGCAGGTGTGGAATACTTCCTGTAGCGTATGGACCACTGATGACTTTTGGATAATCCCAGTCTGGCCACTGACGGGAGTAATGGTGCAGCAGTCTGTTATCAGAGTTCTGGATAACATTCAGACAGATAGACACATTTGGCTGATTATCGCATCGGAGATGGAGGCCTATTATCCTTGAGTCAGACTGGCAGTGAAATTCATCATCAAATAATATGTCTAAGCTGGCGATTGGTTAAAATAATGGACCTCACAGTGAATCCATTACTGCCTGGTCATGAAAACTAGGTCATCCCCATTATTCACCATGGCAACAGTCCATTAAATACCAGCTGTCAGAGGAGAAATGGAGTTCCCCCCTCTTTACATTCTCACTATAACGCAGAAATGGTATACTATGTTTTTACACCCTTTGGACTGTATCTGTAATGGATATTTTCCTGTAAACTGATTTAAACATAGCATAGTCATAACTTAACTGTTAGTTTGATGACAATGCAGATTAAAAGATGCTTTATATTGAGGTTTGAAGGTCTATTAATACCTTTAGATGTAGGTTATTTAGCTCTATCTGGTGAAATTTATTGACTGTCTTTGGTAAAACTATAGAAATATCACTGAAAGGCAATTCATTAGTAGGTCAAAAAGATAAGTTAACTAAATCATTTCATCTGACAGCACCACATATGTGCTTGAGAAAACACATCCTTGTGAATAGGTCTTTTAAGATAACTTAAAAATGTAAGAAATAACACCCCATGCTTGCAACAGATTGCAAAACTTGCTACATTAGGTAGTCACAAAAAAATAATAAAAATCTATATATTGAAAGCTGTGATGAACATGATATTGATGCTTCACAAAGCTAAAGGCACAGATTTGATCAGGCAATATCAAATAAATAGGAACAGATGATATTGCAGCCTACATTTATTCTGACATTAGGAAAAGGAAATTTACTTAAAGGTCACATGCAACCAAAAAATCAAACATAATTAAAACACAATTATCACTTCTTCATGACATATAATATGCATTGCTGATTATGAAAAAAACAAATAAACAAAATTATAAGCGTATAATCGCAAATCAAAAGTGCAATATTTTGTACTTGGGTTTACCTCCCTCGAAACGAAGCAGCCGGGATACCGAACCCAGTCAGAGCGGGTGGGTGTGCACTCAAGTGTAACGGCTGGTTCATTAGCAGATGCCACCTTCACGGGTCATTGTGTGTGTATATATAGAAAGTTGGGTTTTGTAAATACATGCTCATTTTTTGTGTATAACATTTTGCAATCAAGAGACATCATAACATGTCATGTGTTCAAGTATCACACCTGCCTGTCTGTGTAATTACATAATGTGACAGAGACCGAACTCGGGCCATAAATCAATGCGTTTTGTTTATGGTGTATAGCCTGATTGGTGTTAAGTTCAAATTGTATGTGGTCAGTGATCGCAGTTGTGTATTGAATATTGTCATTAGCAGACAGGCAGGCAGACACACTGGTGTCAATAAAACAAGACATTGAGTTTTGTCTGTGACAGCAACATATCTATATCACAGTTAGAAATCGTGTCAACTCTAAATAATGCTTTTAAGTATCGAACTGAGAAAGTGACTCGGTAAGAAGAACGTGTGGTGAAATAGACAAATGAAATTATATAAACAGTTTATTTACTGACATAACATACAAAAAAGCTTGCGCCTGTGAGATATCAACAAAACATTAGGAAACTAGCTCACACCAAAGCCTTCACCGAGTATTCACCAGACAGCCCGCTTCCAAGTTGCGCGAACCTATTTCACTGCGCACGTGCTATGAGCGCAGCCAGCTGTTGAAACCCGTATTCCCCAGAAAAGTCTGGGGAAAATTAGTGAAACGTTTGAACTCCGATTTCGCGCGGTTTTTTTCATCGCGTTATTTTTCAACTTTATAAGTTGAATTTGCATTTTTGACGCTTTGTTTCGGTAAGTCCATACAGAAAGGTATCAGAATCTGCAAAGTTGTGTTTTACGTTGCATGTGACCTTTAATGTGACATGTTGTTTAAGAATCAGAATCAGTATTTATCTTTGCAATTATTTCATTGTTACATATGTTATATTTGGGATTACACTTTCTTAGTAAAGTACAGATTCTAGTACTTTTTCGGTTGAGTCCCATCCGGGATTCGAACCCACACCCTCAGAGTCAGGCACCTAAATGCCAGCACACTAAGTCAGACGCTAGACCGCTCAGCCACCATGGCTTCCACAACTGGACAACTGGTAGCCTAGACTGCGGAGTTTGTGTAGCCCTTTTGTGGAACAGATTTTGTATCAAGAAAGGATAACAAGATATGATGAACAATTTGTTTATTACAGTCAGACCCAAACTGTGGTGTAGTTTCTCACACTATCATCAAGCATCAGCAAGATTTGTGTCAGTTAAAACAGAACTGTGTCACACGATGAGACTGATATGTCAAACTCGTATATCCAGGATATTTTGACAATGAAAAATCATACATAAATGTGTTTTAAAATAGTTGCTAAGCAATATAATTTCAGTATACCTCAATAAAAATTGTTTTTACATTTTTAAAACATAAATTGGTTTGATTTTATGGACAAAATTTGCAAAAAAGATCAAGTTTATTTGAAAGACATTACCTGAAGCTAACTGGTGGCATCTTTTTGCTGAGAATATGTATCTGCTGACATGTTAAACTTGAAGATACTAATGACATTATCTACGACCAAGTGGGGCGGTTAGGTAACCTAGTGGTTAAAGCGGTTGCACGTCAGGCCGAAGACCCGGTTCAATGTGTGAAGCCCACCTCTGATTGATGGAATATTGCTAAAAGCAGCGTAAAATTAAATTCACTCACTCACTCACTCACTCACTCACTCACTCACTCACTCACTCACTCACTCACTCACTCACTCACTCACTCACTCACTCACTCACTCACTCACTCACTCACTCACTCACTCACTCACTCACTCACCGGTGAGCCCCAGTGCTTGGACAGACTTTCTAGAATGCTTGGGTCAGGCTACAGGGTGTACGGTTCTAGTGGAATGTTTCTGAGGACTTCATACACACATTATAAAATATACCATCAAAGAATAGACCTGGAAACATTTTGCTAATACCTTTGGTGACAGTTGAATTCCTCCATAGTAATGGAATAAAGGCTTGTGCCAAGACTTCAAAGGCTTCAGGAATGAAGAATCTAAGCCCTATACATCGTCCTGGGTGTAATATACATATATATGGCACGTCTACTTATACCATTAATAGTGTTTGTTAAAGGGGTGGGGTCCTGTATAAGGAGAATATCATCCTGATCTCCTATATATGCCAGTCATACATTCATAAGTCACATACATTATCATGAGGTCAAGGGAGTCCTTTCATTAATGTAGAATTTGTACTTGATCCATTGTCTATGATTAGATTTTACTTTTGTTTTAGATGTTTGCTTGTCCAAATGTACATCATATAGTTTGGTGTTCTTGTTTTATCATTGGGTTAATATCAAACTGTTTAGCCAGAGAGGTAATTATGGTTAACTTCAAGAATAGTTGGTTGGATGGGCACCCTACAAGGGTTCATTGGAATGTTTGGGGCCTCATGTACCAGGAGTTCTATAACAGTGACATCTTTTACTTTGACATTACACATATCCACAAACACTTGTATTAAATGAGGAAATTATGAATACACAATGCCATTTAGAAAGTGGTCAAATGTAACATGTTATATTTGGGAGTACACTTTCTCAGTAAAGTAGACATTTTAGACATTTCTGTGATTACACAATGCCATTTAGAAAGTAGTCAAATGTAACATGTTATATTTGGGAGTACACTTTCTCAGTAAAGTAGAGATTTTAGACATTTCTGTGATTACACAATGCCATTTAGAAAGTGGTCAAATGTAACATGTTATATTTGGGAGTTTTACACTTTCTCAGTACACTTTTTCAGTATAGTAGAATGTATTTTAGACATTTCTGTGATTACACAATGCCATTTAGAAAGTGGTCAAATGTAACATGTTATATTTGGGAGTACACTTTCTCAGTATAGTAGAGATTTTAGACATTTCTGTGATTACACAATGCCATTTAGAAAGTGGTCAAATGTAACATGTTATATTTGGGAGTACACTTTCTCAGTATAGTAGAGATTTTAGACATTTCTGTGATTACACAATGCCATTTAGAAAGTGGTCAAATGTAACATGTTATATTTGGGAGTACACTTTCTCAGTAAAGTAGAGATTTTAGACATTTCTGTGATTACACAATGCCATTTAGAAAGTAGTCAAATGTAACATGTTATATTTGGGAGTACACTTTCTCAGTAAAGTAGTAGAGATTTTAGACATTTCTGTGATTACACAATGCCATTTAGAAAGTGGTCAAATGTAACATGTTATATTTGGGAGTACACTTTCTCAGTAAAGTAGAGATTTTAGACATTTCTGTGATTACACAATGCCATTTAGAAAGTGGTCAAATGTAACATGTTATATTTGGGAGTACACTTTCTCAGTAAAGTAGAGATTTTAGACATTTCTGTGATTACACAATGCCATTTAGAAAGTGGTCAAATGTAACATGTTATATTTGGGAGTACACTTTCTCAGTAAAGTAGAGATTTTAGACATTTCTGTGATTACACAATGCCATTTAGAAAGTAGTCAAATGTAACATGTTATATTTGGGTCAAATGTAACACACTTTCTCAGTATAGTAGAGATTTTAGACATTTCTGTGATTACACAATGCCATTTAGAAAGTAGTCAAATGTAACATGTTATATTTGGGAGTACACTTTCTCAGTATAGTAGAGATTTTAGACATTTCTGTGATTACACAATGCCATTTAGAAAGTAGTCAAATGTAACATGTTATATTTGGGAGTACACTTTCTCAGTATAGTAGAGATTTTAGACATTTCTGTGATTACACAATGCCATTTAGAAAGTAGTCAAATGTAACGTGTTATATTTGGGAGTTCACTTTCTCAGTATAGTAGAGATTTTAGACATTTCTGTGATTACACAATGCCATTTAGAAAGTAGTCAAATGTAACGTGTTATATTGGGGAGTTCACTTTCTCAGTATAGTAGAGATTTTAGTACGTTTGTTGGGTTGAGTTCCATCCGGGATTTGAACCCACCGCCTCAGAGTCAGGCACCTAATCACCAGTGGGTTAGACAGCTGACGTTTACAACATTGTAAACTGTTCACTACAAATATAGGTGAGCTACTGTGCCGTGG